GAAGTGATTGAACGAGTCCAATTAAAAATTTTAAAGTATATTTTAAATATGAAAAGATCCACCCCAAATTATATGGTGTACGGAGAAACAGGCTGCCTGCCGCTATCTATTGATATAAACGAAAGAATAATCATGTTTTGGGCTAGATTAAAAAAGCACGATGAAAATAATCATCAAAAGAAATTGTCGTCTCTATTATACAATATTACATATAATCTTTCAAAAAACTTAAGTGAAAATAGTTTGAGAAAAAAATTTCCTTGGATTGCAAACTTAAGAGAAATTTTTATAAATTGCGGTTTTTGTAATATATGGGATACACACAATTTTGGAAACGAGAAGTGGTTGAAATTAGTAATTAGACAGAAACTAAAAGATATTTTTTGCTAAATGATTGTTATTCCGTTATTCAAAACTCTAGCAAAAGTACATTCTACAGAACATTCAAAAAAAGAATTTAAATTCGAAAAATACCTTTTATCAACCCCTAAACCTTTTCTTCGTTACATGATAAAATTTCGTACACGTAACCATAGATTACCAATAGAAACCGGAAATTGGGCCCGAATACCAATCAATCAAAGAACATGTACTTCTTGTAACAATAAAATAGGCGACGAATTTCATTACTTATTTGAATGTGTTTTGCTTAATGATGAAAGAAAGAAATTTTTGAAACCCTATTATTACAGACGTGCAAATACATTCAATTTGAAACTAGAACAACTAATTAATACAGAAAACAAGAGCGAATATTTGAAATTATGTAAATTTGTTAAAACAATAATTTTAAGATAATCAAATTAGTATTCACCTCATATGTGATTACTTACATTACATTCCAAGACTATTACACGAATATTTCACAGATTAATCTTTTATTACCCATAGTAAAGTGTTTGTTTGTTATAATATTTGTCTAAATAGTATGACACTTTTTTCATTTAGCTTATAAGTATGAGTCTATAAATGTCATTGTAAAGGTTTAAAATATTATGTTGTACATAATTGTACATCACTTGTCAGTTGTTTATATTATTATTTCTTTTCCCTTTTTCTTTTTGTAACTATTCTCATCGTTTGTCGATAAATAAAAAGAAAGGTAATATAAAACGAAATTATACCCTTAGAGAGTGTCTAAATTACGTGACTCTCGTAACATATTTACTAAGAACTTTAACAATTTGTGGTTTTGATACATTGTTAATTGAACGTACTGCAGTTCAGCAAATGATATGAATAAATACTCTTTTTACGAATTATTTTACCACTCAAATTATATAATTATACATTGTACATTTGTTTAAAGAGCCTCTACTAACATTGTACTTATTACTAACCACATTTATTCATGTTAACATGAAATGTGTGTAATAAAGGAAATTTGACTTGACTTGACTTGACATATAAATGTGAACACATATTGTTTAGATAACAATAGATGAACGGTAAAACTGTGATCAACGGATAATGTTTGCACTTAACTTCAGGTATTATAAACAACTATATAGCACCTTCGTTACAAGTATTAAATGTTTTATCAAATACTCTTTTTAACAAACAAAATCAAAGTATGGCAAACCCTTTCATAATAAATCAAATATGTTGCTATATGAAATAAAAAAAACTGTCACTTTATAAGGTATACTTGCTGTCAATAAATTCGGCACTGCAAAAAACAATACAAAAACAATCGAGAATAAAATATCTGACCCTGTCCCCCTTGAATTCATAAATCGGTGAAATAATTCGGGAATGGGGTTTTCGCGAAATAAAGATCACGCGAATATGAGTGAATATAAGTGATTTACAGTATAGAATTGCTCTGCTGAAATGCCGAGCTGTCAGGGCAATCTTGCGGGGCATTTTTAAATATAGTGTAATAAATGTTCTGCTGGAATGCCGAGGCAGTAGAGCAATTTAGCCAGACATTCCTAAAATAGTGTATAAAATGCTTAGCTGGAATACTCAGCCGACAGAACAATCTAGTACAGCATTCTGAAACATGTAAAATTTATCTGCTTGATTGTTCAACTGGCAAAGCATTCTTAAGTAAAGTGTATGCTAGGTTATCCAGCAGAGCATTCCTATATACAGCATAAATATGCTCTGTTTGAATGCTCAACTGGCCAAGAAATCTAGCGGTACATTCTAGAATATTATATAAAATGCACTATGCTTAAGAAGAACATAATAATCAGGTGGACAAGCAATCTAGCGGGATATTCAATGATATAGTGTAAAAATGCTCTGCTGGAACAGTATGGCATTCCCAAATGGAGTGCTGAATATGCAATCTAGCAGGCCATTCATCGATATTGTGTAAAATTGCTTTGCTGAAATGCTGAACTGACAGAGCAATCTAGCGGGGCATTCCTAAAAATAGTGTAAAGCATGTTCAGCTAGCAAGCAATCTAGTAGAACATTCTGAAAGATAGTGAAGAAATTCTCTGCTAGAATGCTCAGTTGGTAAAGCAATGTTGCGGGGTATTGCAAAGTATTGTGTAAAAATATCCTGCTGGAATGCACAGCTGGCAGAGCTGCTATCTTGCAGATGTTTCTAAAAAATACTGTAAAAATGCTCTGCTGGAATTCTCAACTGGCTAAGCAATCTTGTAAGCATTTTGAAATATAGTATAAAATGTCACTGCTTGAATGCTCAGCAGGCAGAGCAATCTTACAAAGCATTCTTAGATATAGTGTAAAATATGCTAAGTTGGCAGTGAAATCTAGCGGAGCATTGTAAAATACATTATAATAGTTTCTCCACTGCAACACTTAGCTGCTTAAGCATTCTAGCAAGATATTCTTAAATACGGTACGAAAACTGCTGTGCTACAATGCTCAGCTTTCTAGGCAATTTAGAAGAGCATTCTGAAATATAGTATAAAATTTCTCTGCTGGAATGCTGAGCTAGCAGGGTATTCCCAAATACAATGTATAGTGTACATAGGCTCTTGTAGAATGCTTACCTTGATTATAGAAGGGCTTTTTAAATACAGTATATAATTTATAAGCTGCAATTTCAAGCTTGCTGAGCAATCTAACAGAGCATTACTGAAAATAGTATAAAATGCAAAGTTAGAATGCTCAGCTGACAGTGAAATAAAGCGGGAAATTCCAAAATGTAGTGAAAAAATGCTCTGCTGGAATTCTTAGCTGGCTATGCAATCTAGCAGAACATTCCTTACTGAATAGTGTAAAAATGTTTTGCTGGAATGCTCAGCTGGCTTGGCAATCTAGCACGGTATTCTTTAATATAGTATAAAATTGCTGTGCTGAAATGCCGTCTGCAGCTGCGACTGACATCCTCGCAGACTCCCAGGAATTCTTGTACAAATTGATTTATAACCTATTTTGGGTTTAAGTTACCATAAGGAGTTTATTTCGTTGGTCTGAGATTGATTATTGGGCACTCGAAACCTTTCAGGAATTTTCAGTGCAGGTGATGACATTTGTAACTTCTACGATCCCTAATTTCGCTGGTCTGCGACTTAGTCTGGGATACTCGGACAGTTTCACGACCTTGTGCCATTTTATTTACTTCCAGGGACCCTCCAGAGCCAAGTTATCTTGTCTACGACTAATTCTGAGATAACTGAAGACTTCCAGGATCTTTTGTTGCCAATTGACATCGTGGCATTTTCGGCATTTTCGAAATGGACTCTGGATGGTCCTTAGAAGTCAAAAATATCATTATTCCCATTTGCACAAAAGATACTGAAGGTCTACGAGTGTACCAGAATAAGTCATAGACCAACGAAATGGACGCTGGATGGTCCCTAGAAGTACAAAAATGTCATTATTTGCATTTACATCAACAATTTCTGAAAGTCTTTGAGTGCTTAAGAACCAGTCGCAGACCAACAAAATGCACTGAAAAGGGTCACTAGAAATCAAAAATGTCATCTCCATTGGCATAAAAAATTCCTGAAAGTTTGCGTGTGTCCTAGAATGAGTTGCGGACCAATGAAATGGACTCAGGGTGTCCCTATTCGTAAAATTGTCCTTAGCTGCATTGGAAAGTCGACGAGTGCAAAAGGATCAGTCGAAGACCAACGAAATAGACTCCTGAGTGTGACTTGAACTCAAAATAGGTTATGTTCCGGTAAAAAACGCTCTCGGAGATGAACATTCCAGTAGAGCATTTTACACAATATTTTGGAATGCGCAACTACATTGATTAGCCAGCTGAACAGAGCATTTTTACACTAGATTTAGGAATGGCCTGTTAGCTCACCTAGCAAGCTCAGCATTCCAGCAGATAAATTTTATACTATATTAAAGAATGCCCGCTATATTGTTATGCCAGCTGGGCTTCCAAGCAGAGCATGTTTCACCTTTTTAAAGAATGCCCCGCTATATTGCTCTGCAAGCTGAGCCTTCTAGCCGAGCATTTTTAATTAATATTTCAGAATGCTCTGCGGGATTGCTCTGTCGCTAAGCACTTTATACATCTTTTTAAGAATGACCCGCTATATTACTCTGCAACGTCGGCATTCCAGTAGACAAGCTATATTACTCTGCAACTTCGGCATTCCAGTAGACATTTTATAAAACTTTATTTGATAATGCCCAGCTCGATTGTTCTGCCAGCTCGGCATTTCAGCAGATCAAATTATATTACATGTATATGCTTGATTGCTTAGCAAGCTGAGTATTCCAGCAAAGCATTTAATCAAACTATTCTTAGAAATGCCATGCTAGATTTCCAGGACAGCTGATTATTCCAGCAGAGCATTTTTACAGTACATTCAGGAATGCCCCTAGATTGCTTAGCCAGCTGAGCATTACAGGAGATCATTGATTTCCCTATATTAATTGTAATGTCTTTTGCTTAGCTCACTGTTCACTGCTAACCTCTCACATATAAAATATATCAGTTTGGTTTAGCCAAAATGTTAACATTTGTGAAGAAATATCTCTTTCCCCTAGTTTCTTGTCGAAAAGAAGACAAAAGCAAATTCAATATATTTGGTTATTTTGAAGTTTTTTTATAGATATATTGATAAAGAATAGATGGCTGCACAACATACAGAACCAGAAATGGAGGTTTGGCGAAACGTCTTCGATCAAAACACCAGGAAGCTTAAAATGTATCTCATCCCCGATGAAATCATTCACCTGGACACTGGGTTCGAATTATTCTCCTTCACTGACATTCGGGATATTAAGGTATAACATCAAATACTTTTATGATACGCTTCACTGCACATTGTCTTTATCTTAATAGTATTTATATTAAATGTCTGCTAAAAATTTCTCCAGGAATGGAAACAAGAATCATTATTATATTATGTGGACCAAGAATTCCAGGGTCAAGAATAAAGTCTGTCCCTGGGATACTTTTATTACAAAGAACCGTGTTTGAAACATCTTTACAAAGATATTTTGCTCTTCACCACAAGAGCTTAGATAGTATCGGGCATCCAGCTTAGCTGAGCCGACAATTTACCTTTTGAAGAAAATATGGCACTAGTGGCGATAAAATGTATATAAAATTATTGCATGTACAAGTACACTTTTTAATGAATAGAATTTTCAAAACGGGTTTTTGTTGTTACGAGGACTAACTATCATAATGTCCATAACAGATTGTGTATACGAAAATTAAATACATGTATTCACATTTGGACATTATTTTAATATTAACTTGAAAACATTGAATAGGTTAAGCGATAGTGAGTCTTGTGTGTCGTTACTACCTTTTACTTATCCTTTACTTTATTCAAAGGTTATTTTATTGTTAATTCAAAAGCTTGAAAATGTTATAACCAATAAATTTGATAATATTTAAAGATAATTTTGTATGCGGCTACGAACTGTGACCATGGAATATCTGTATTATAATATAAACAGCTTTAAAAATGTATATCTACAATAGAATGATTACAAAAGCAAGTACACTGTTACAGGAAGAGACAAATACAACAAAGAAAAACGAAGCAATTTTAACAAAAGTAAGATCAAAAGGCGAAGATGCTTACAAAGACTTCAAAGAACGTCTTAAAATTACAAATCAAAGCAAGCTTGCAGATCTTTTGACTTATACAGAGAGGGGATTAAGTACAGAGGAGATAGAGCAACAACTGGACAAAATGTTAAAAGAACAAATAACACGTACGGAATATGATAAACAAAAAAGAGGTAAGTGAAAGTTTATATGCACAGAAAAGTGTAGGGTCTATGTGCTTATACTTTGGAGTTACTATTGTCAAGTTATCTTAACTTGTGACTCATTATGTGCAAATGTTTTATTATGTGTTTCAATACTTATTGTCCTCATGATAATGTCCTCATTATTTGTTTTCTCAGACTAGTGAATCAAGGAGAGGTGTTGGGTTTCAGTATATCATAATTTATAAACTCCAATTTCGATGGTAAAGGTGAGCGTCTGACATTAACACAATAATAATCTACGTCAAACGTTATTGGTCTCCTCGTTCACTGGAGGAGACTAAAATGCCTTTCCCTCATGGGTTTGAACGCCACTATGCAATTTGTTATGCATTTCATTCCGTCCAAAATCAGGAAACAACTTTAACCGTCGTATATTTGCACATTTAAATTTTTCCAAAAGAGCTGCATTTCCTTGAATATTACATGAACCTATTGATGCATTTGATTGAGATCGTTTTACAAGTTCTATTATTGATTTCAAATGTGTACAAATGCTGCCCGTGTTATTAAGAAAATATAGCAAATAATTAATTGCATTGATTGTGTTTTCTTCCAATTACTTTTGAACTGAAAAAGACACATATCTATCCCACCCTCGTCATCACTAGTAGACATTTGTGCTGGTTTGTCGTTGTGCCCAAGATCACTACCAACATCAGCAAATTATGAGTCGGGCTACTCCAAATAACAACGGGAAAACAAATTAAATTATACTGAAAAAATATAAAGCTATTACTTGATATGTTAAACAACATTAGTGATATATAATTGGTCGTATACTGATGGAATCTGTGTGAGAAATAAAATTGTTGTTAGAATACCAGATTATGATGATGAAGAAGTGTATAAAGAGTTTTGTACTTGAGGCGATTCTTTTGGTTTTGATGACAAACAGTTACTTGAAATAGTAAGTTTCTGAAGTATGTGAATCTAATCGAAAGTCCTTAGTTCCCATTGATTAAAAACATCATTTTGTTATTATTGAGTATCGTCCGAAGTGATCATGATAGAGCTATCTATAATTGTCAATGTTTTGTTGTTTACTCAAGATGGCCTCACGAAAAAGTGATAATCACATGTATACCATGTTAGATGTAAAGTTAATCTTCAAAAGGCTGGCTAGATATCTTACTGAGCATGCGCAATATGTAAATATTTTTAACTTACTTATAGCTGAAACTATTAATATGTAAGTACAATACATTAAATTATTTGTAAGTACATAGTTAAGCATTATCTACAGGGATATCATTTTATTAAGTATGCATCATTTTTAATCATTTCTTAAACCATTGTCTTTCAAAATACATATAAGACTGCGTTTACGATAAAGTGAACTTTTGTCTTCCTTTTTTTCTGGAGTAGAGATTATGTGAATGACTGGATTAATTACTCATTGAGAGTTTTTCCGACATTTAAGCTCTGAAAAGGATGTTGCATTATTTGTGATTTATTAGCTGTGATGAAGGGCAAATTGCTGATATGGGTAGAATAATGAAGTTTAATCAATACTACTGACGCAACTCCTAGAATACACTTGCCGTATCCCCTGCTTTTCCCAGCTCAGAACGTAATACCTCTCCATCTGTAGTTTCGGAAAATTACTGTAATTATATTACACACTGAAGTGGTAACAGGTTCATAAAGCACACCTGGTAGCTGTTATATATTTACGACACACTTAGCGGTTACAATTATAAAAAAACACACGTTTATGGTGACTGTTATCATACAGCACATTTTTATGGTAACTGTTATCATAAATCACATAAATCACACTTTTATTGTCAGTGTTATCATACACCACACTTTTATTGTAACTGTTATTATACACCACACTTTTATGGTAACTGTTATCATACAGTACACTTTTATGGTTACTGTTATGGTAACTATTATCATACAGCACACTTTTATGGTAACTGTTATAATACAGTACACTTTTATGGTCACTGTTATCATACAGCACACTTTTATGGTAACTGTTATCATACAGTACACTTTTATGGTTACTGTTATAATACACACTTTTATGGTCACTGTTATCATACAGCACACTTTTATGGTTACTGTTATGGTAACTGTTATCATACAGCACACTTTTATGGTTACTGTTATAATACAGCACACTTTTATGGTAACTGTTATCATACAGCACACTTTTATGGTTACTGTTATCATACAGCACACTTTTATGGTAACTGTTATCATACAGCACACTTTTATGGTTACTGTTATGGTAACTATTATCATACAGCACACTTTTATGGTTACTGTTATAATACACACTTTTATGGTCACTGTTATCATACAGCACACTTTTATGGTAACTGTTATCATATAGCACACTTTTATGGTTACTGTTATGGTAACTATTATCATACAGCACACTTTTATGGTTACTGTTATAATACACACTTTTATGGTCACTGTTATCATACAGCACACTTTTATGGTAACTGTTATCATATAGCACACTTTTATGGTTACTGTTATGGTAACTGTTATCATATAGCACACTTTTATGGTTACTGTTATGGTAACTGTTATCATACAGCACACTTTTATGGTTACTGTTATAATACAGTGCAATTTCATGGTTACTGCTATCACACAGCACACTTTTATGGTTACTGTTATCACACAGCACACTAATATGGCAACTGTTATCATACATCATATGTTAGTGGTTACTTCTTAACTGAGATTTGTGTCGGATAATTGGATATAACGGTAATATGTATAAGCTATGCGGTAAGTGGAATATAAGGGTTGTATGTATATCTCCTGTCGGCAAGTTGAATATCACGATATATATAGCTTCTTATGACAGTATGCATAGTTTGTGTGTCACAGTATGTATAGTTTCTGTCGGCAAGTTGGATGTAACAGTTTATATGGCTTCTTTCTGAAAGTTGAAAAAAAAACGATATACATAGCTTCTGTCGTGTATGTTATGGTATATATAGCTTCTGTCGGCAAGTTGTATATAACAGTTTATATGGCTTTTGTCGGCAAGTTGAGTATAACGGTATGTATTAATAATATATGTCATATGTTTGCGGTTCGGATCGGAATATCCGTCCCGAGGTGACCCGCCCATTGGGCGGTAACAAGGCTTGCCGAGTTACCGCCAATGGGCGGGTGACCGAGGGACGGATATTCCGATCCGAACCGCAAACATATGTCAGATGCTTTTTCTTGTATATTCTACCATATTCCATTATATTTCAAATTCTTTATCTTTACTACTTTCTTACAACAGCGTATGAATTACAACTTCATTCATTACTGTAAAATGACGTCATCCTAACCGTGCCATTGTACAGCACGCGACTCATCTGGAACCCCCCATGCCAGATTAAATTTCTGGCATAAGTAAAACTCACGGAAACGCCAGTCTGATAAGCTTTTTTCGGTTAAATTGAATACAAGAAAAGCATTGATGCAAAGCATCAAAGGGCGTCCAAACAACAGGTGCAGATGAACTAGTAGATATATGATGACAAGATATTCTTATAAACTTTTCAATGGTTCATTGGGTTTTACCAGAATTGTATATCACTTTTGAATGAACGGACGAAAGACATTGTTCATTATTTATAACTTTGATCGGCATACTAGAAATTAGAATATTACTTGTTATTTCTTTATGATCGTGGTTATTAATAGCAACGGATATACATGTATACAATCATTTATAATCCATATGTGTAACGCATGATCAACACCATACTTGTGTAATTGTCCCTTATTATGTTATTGCTATTAACGAGGACCCCCTCTTAAGGTATCTGTTCACACTAAGTAACAATATGACACTTGTTATATTACCATGTTGATCATGTTGAGCATAATTGTTTATTATACAATAAATGTAATTTCTATTTTAATAAAAAAAAATACAGATTTTATGAATATTGTTTTCTTTTCTTTTTTTGTGTGTGTTTTATGCGCTATTTTAATACTTAGTTTTTACGTTTACTACTATTTTAAGAATTCAATTGTCATAATGATCGACGATTATAAGTCAAAACTTAACTGGAAAAAGTCAGTAAATCATGGTTAATCTTTCAATTTATAATATTGTTTATTCTTAAACCATATACATGTACATTTGTATTTTTCTTTATCATTTTTTAAATCAATTGAATAATTCATAAAATCTGATTTGTAACTTTGAATAATTCCTCGGAATCTTTACTAAACACGAATAACAAATTGTATAAAATGTTTTAAAGTTGATAGTGTCATATTAATGCCATAAAAATGTACATTTTTTCTCAATTATTGTACATATTTATTGTTTTTATCTCATATAGATAAAATATAACATGCGATTTGTGTTGTTGGTTTTTTTTTTTCGAATTGTATGTTTATGTATAATAATAATCAATCAATTCGAGAGTTGATCTGTGTTTATTAATTATTGTAACCAAACTAAGTGACAAACATTCATTTTGAAAAAAAGCTTATTTATCTGTAAAATATTTGTTCTGTTCTGTAACGATATCTACTCCAAAACCGGGAGAGACCGGACAATAAACGTGTGGTACTATTCGCCGGTCATTAGTAAATCCCGGGAGAGACCGGGAATTACCGATAGGAGTACATCCCTCTATAAATAGATTTTCTGAATATTTAGGTCATCAACTCATCATTCTATTAACAGCTTTCGGAATAACATACCATAATAACCCACTGTGTACTACAAAATGATAAGCAAAAATACCCCGAAGAGCGCGATTTATTGACGGAAAAGGTTATTTCATTTGAAAATGTTTGCATTGCGAAATTCTCCAGTTCGCCATTCATTGTACATATCGCGACTAATTAATAATCAAGCACCCTCATACCGATCGGAATGATCGGCTTTTATTATTGGCAACTATAAAAGGCTCGAGAAGTTGCTGTCGCCCTTTCACAAAATCTCATTTCATTCCAATAGGCGCCGCGCTATATACAAT